GATGCAGCTCGTTCAAACGGTCGGTCATGAACACGTGCTTAGCGCACTCTTTGCGCACTATCATCCATTTCATCGAGAGCTCTTCACTCATAACCCGTTTCACTGCTTCACAAATAAACGTTCATTTTCATAAATTTATTACGCCATCTTCTGCCCGTAGAACATTCATACGAACATTGTAATTAAGTATTGTTGAGGTAATGAACACACCTGAGCTTGAAGTTCCTCACATCTGGCCGTGAACATGGCACGATGAGAAGCGAATGTGGCCGCATCCTCTTTGAATGCTTTAAGCTCCCTTCGTAACCTCTCCAGCAAATCGTGTGTTATCGCCTTCTCACTTTCGTATTTGTCTTTCAGCGATGCCAGCGCTGATTCTGCGGTCAATTTGTTCGATTTGAGCACTGTACGTAGTGTTGCGATTTGATCCCTGCAATATATCACTCCATTAAATTAGGCATGAGAATCTATTACATCACTCCAGCATTTCCCTTACTGCACGGAAATGCTCCTCTATTCTATTCTGCACGATATCTTGCCGTTTATCATTCTAATTTACTCATTTACTACCAATCAAATAACCCTGTTGAAGCGTACTTGAGCAATTTACAAATCTCGGTGAAAGTTTCATGTGTAAAAAATTCACATCTGTGATGGAAACGTTTGAGAGCCATTTTATTTGTATGCAAAATAATCCACCGATGCTAAAGATTTCTTTTCAAGAAAAATTTACGTGGAACGCTTATTTACAAAAATATCACGATATAAATTGGAGTCACTCGTTGTGAAGTCATTTCATTTGAATGGACGTTGTGCCGGGCAGTGGTTTCGTTGGAGACACCGGCAATGTCTCGATGTGTACTCCACTAAAGGTTATTCGAATTGTAATTATATTCCAAAAGAGAATTTTATATTGAAAGCGGAAAACGACTTTTGCAACAATAAAGCAATGGTTCTTTTGCTGCAATAAACTAGTACTGTTGTCAATCACAGTGAAGAATCCAAACGAAATCGGCTACAATACGAACACTTGAACCTAAGCAAAATCCCTTGACCAGCTTCAAAACGGTTCCAGACTTTCCACGAAGTCGATAACTCGACTGTAAAATAACAACTTGTTTATTCCTAATTCATAAGTTAACTTCAAGCATACATGACAACGATACATTTGTGGAACTTGTTAACCGTTTGTTTCACATGATGAATAATTCAGATTTACCCGCTGGGCGGAGAAAGAGTCCAAGAATTGTCATATCCACCAATAACTTATCACTACTCGGTAGGCACGAATGCTCGACACGTATACGTTATCGGGGCACTCACCGAAAATAACCACTCACAATTGTATGTTTGGGATTTGCATCGTGGATGCGCTAAGTAGGTCGCATTCAAAATTCATTTCAAGTTTAACTAGAAACAATGAAGATCTAACAAATCAAACGCTATAGCAGGCGATTGTATATTTGAATATGACATTATTCAGTTATAAAATGACATTCTGATCCG